AGTAAATTTCTGAATAAAAGAATAATAATGACAATAATACTTATGTTCTGGGCACTGTTGTAACCAAATAACATATATTAAGTAACTTAATAGTCTCAGGGTTCTTCTGAGGGGATATTATTTATATCCCTATTGTGTAGATATTGAGAAGTTAAGCAATTTACCAAAATCACTGGGCTCAAGCTCCATTCTCAAAACTATTGTACTGGTCCATTGCTGCAGTGAGTAAGGCAACAACTTACAAATGTCTGTTTGATGGCACCTTTCCCCTTTGCATTGATAATGTTTCTAACAAGTGAGGTCACCTTTGAGTAGGTAGTGTGCCACTGAGAGTGAAAATCTACCCTAACAATTTATGAAAAGATTGCCATAGGCCATCATAATTTTACTGATTACATAAGCTTACTGAGAGTGCATGTATGGGTGAGTATGACTTTGAACCTCTAGAGCAGCGGTTCTCAACCTTTCTAATGCCGCGACCCTTTAATACAGTTCCTCAGGTTGTGGTGACCCCAAACTGTAAAATTATTTTTGTTGCTACTTCATAGCTGTGATTTTGCTACTGTTATGAATCGTAATGTAAATATCTGTGCTTTCTGATGGTCTTAGGCTCTACAGCAGCGGTTCTCAACCTGTTGTGACACACAGGTTGAGAACCATGAGCAGGGTGGCCTAAGACCATCGGAAAGCACAGATATTTACATTACGATTCATAACAGTAGCAAAATTACAGTTATGAAGTAGCAACAAAAATAATTTTACGGTTGGGGGTCACCACAACATGAGGAACTGTATTAAAGAGTCGTGGATTAGAAAGGTTGAGAACCACTGCTCTAGAGGAAATGTATTGGCTTTAATAAGGAAGTGCTGCCCACCTACAGGTCCGTCTTCTGCCATATAATAAATTTGGCTTAAATAAATTCAGCACTAGTGGTCAGTTCGCCATGTATAAAAATCTAAATTGCATTGTGTGTGAAGTTGATGAGATGGAGGATGGGAGGTGGGGGAGGAGGGAATAAAAACTCATGATGCTAACCAAGCCACTGTTCTAAAAGAAGAAATGCCTTTTTGCTAAATCTGCCACTCAGAGGAGGCATATTTTTGTAACACATCAACAGCTGGGTTGGGGTGAGGGCACCTTTTTATAATTCACTCAACTAGAACATACTGATAAGTAGTTACCTAGCAAAACCTGATTTTAAACGGAAATTTCTGATGTTGATTCAACTAATTAAATAAAAAATGAGTGGTGCAATTATGTTATTCATGGTGAATACAGCCTACTAAAGTTTAATTCTACACATGCCTATAAAAAGAGGAGAAATAGTTAACAATTACAAGAAGTACCAGAGAACTTTCTCAGGAGATACTTCATTTGTGGGTCAAACTTACGTTTCAGGGGCAATGCTAATCTAAATTGTTCAAGATGAGATTTGGCCAGCAGACACTGAGGGTAGGGAATATAGGTATAAAAGATGACTCTACCTACAAATTGTTTCTATTACTAGCAGTCAGATGGAGCTATTAGAAATTTGGGTTAGGTTTCCAATAGACCTGACAGGAGCTTGGGGATTGAGGACTGACTTTAAGGTGCATTAAAATAATAAATATTTAAATGAACAAATGAGTAAACCCTACTGTGGGGTTTGTGAAAACCTGGTTTGGAACAGAGGTAACCTTACTTGAGACTCTGTAATATACCATCACTTTAGGGCTCTTGCAAAGCTCTTGCTACCTGTGTATACAGTGGCATGACTTCAAGAAGTTCTGGATTGGTGTGAGTGTATAGCATTATAGCAATCAAGTTGGCAGAGGGAAAAATATTTGAAAATGTATAGGGAACATTCGGAAAACACCTTCATATATATAGCTATTCTAAGGACAAATGTAATGGACAGTTTTAAAGAGACGAGGTGTCCAAGTAACAAAATTCCAAAGAGAATATATAAGAATGAGTACACAAATTAAAAATGATTAATAAATATTCCAAGGTTTCCTATGATTCCAAGGAGTAAAAGCCATATAGTAATCAAGTTTATCTCACTGGGAAATTTAAATAGCTAATCTGATATGTCAGATGTAACATGCTGGTTCAAGAATAGATTATTCAAAATGGTTTTAAAAAATAAAAACTTTTGAGAAGGGATTCTGCATGGCATGCTAAATACTTTACCCTTAATGGATCACAGAGGATAATGATAGTTTCTTATTTAGAAGAATAGATAAGCCATACATAATTTTAAAACAATTCTGCTTTTGATGAATTAGGCAGTGGTATGAATAGGAAAGAAAACCTCAGTAAAAATAGGATTAATTTTAGACAATGTTTTGTGGTTTTCAAGGGCCAGATCTAAGAGATTTAATCCATCTAACTTAGAAAGGGAAATTTAAAAATATTGCTAGTTATAAGAAACTAAGAATGAATGGGAAGTTAGAATATATGAAGATGTAAAGATGCAGGGCCTACTTTTTATAAAAAAAAAATAGAGAATGTTATCTGTTGAATAAACAGAGGTAAATAATTATGTTGCTGAGGTGACTGAAGTGTTTATCTGGAAAGTGAATCTTGGATGCCACCTACCTAAATATGATACACACGCCTGAATGCAGGGAAGATAGGACCCTGGGAAATAAGACAAGATTAAAGAAGGAGGTTAAAGACTATCTTCAGAGATATAATATGAAGAAATAAAATTTTAAAGTACTCCCCTCATCTAAGGTAAAAAATAATGAGAGGAGAATAAAACGAGGAGTTTCTGACTTGAGGGACTAGAAAATTAATATAGGAAATCAAGAGGATCACTGTGATGTCTACCACCATTAAAGTCACTGAGTGAAAGGAAGAATATATATCCTGAAGGAAAAGATCACTGCCTGCACACACTTCACATCATAAATTCAATGTCACTCTCTCCCAAACTCATCATTAAAGTAACGTATCGGCTGTCACAAGAAATGTTATACTTTCCTCAATAACTTTAAGAAATATCTTTTAAAACTAAATATTTTAAAAATAGATTTAAACAAGTGATCAGTCAATATAAAATATTATTTTCTTTAAATATATTTCAAATTGACCCAGTCATCTATATTTTATATATTCCAAGTTGGTGAAATTCTTGAGAAGGAACTAAAAATGGCACAGCAATATTATATAGGTAATGTGATTGGCCTTAAAAATCAAGGTCATAAAATATGCATTTAGAAAGTTTTTGCTAAAGTTACATACCTTACTATTTTTTATAAAAAGTTAGATCATGATTCTAGGCAAATTAGTTTTACATATTTTATCCATCTTCACAGCAGGCAAATAAATAGTGCATCATTAAAATCATATTATCTCATGTTTTATTTAAACAACAATTAGTCTATGGTTTCAGTAATCATTACATGTAAGATACTTCTAATAATAAATCTTATTAATAAGGATAGGTTTCTTTTTAGGAGCATACATATAAATTTTCTATACCTGGGATTATTTTAAAAATAATGAAAATCTTTCACTTTGGAAGCAAATTTGTTCCTAAACTTTGGAGGCATTTTAAAGTCATTTGTGTTCTGTAATTTGAAAACTTGTCAAAGTGTTTGAGTATCCATATCTAAATAAATTTTTACAAACTAACCATTAAAATTAAAAATTAAATGTTAGAAGAGAAGAATACTTGAATGATATTATGTAAATCAATATACTCCAACAAATAAAAGTACACTAACAAGAAGCAATTTGTTTTATTTTAATTTATTTTCTCCACATTCGAAGGTATATTTGTACTCCCTGTTGTTATTTAAGCAAAAGAAATGTAGAATACTTAATATCATCACTAGATGATAGGTACTGTATCACTGCCAAGTAACATATGAAAATCAGCTAAGTTTATATACAACATGGATCCCTGTATCAAATTCAACTTGGACACTATATATCCTAAATTCTTTTATATTAATAGGATGCAATTTACTTGAGAAAAAGTAATTTAAGAGCAGGAGAATCTGAATCTTTCTTAATCATAAGCCATAACTGTGTTAAATTATTTGTTTCTAAGTAGCATTTAATGTAGCAAAAAGTTGACAAGAACATGTTTAGACCAAATTAATAATCCTAGTTTGGTAAATAATAATAATAATAATAATAATAATAATGTTGATCATAAAAATAAGTTCTGGATATATGCATCAGAAATGTCTTTTTTAGGATGGAGACATTTTTGGAATAAACTCATACAATCACCACCTTCCCAGATAAAACTATATTGTATCCTAAATATTTTCTTGCACTGACTAGTGTATTCTAGCTCTCCACAAATAATGCACCTATGCATTTTTATTGTAGTCAATTTAATTCTAATCACAGCACACATGCACTATGACAAAGAAAGAGAATACAAAATAAATTAACAATAAACAAAATGGTGGATTAAGTGAAGTTCATTTAAACAAACCTAAAATACGACCTAGGAACATTGTTACTGAAGCACATGCATAAAATAATCATAACATTTAACATATGTACATATAAAGATCTTTAAATATCCAATATTATCTGAATAAGTTTTTTTTAGATATTAAGATTAGATGTGATTTTTTTCCCTCCAAATACACAAGTTGCCTTCAGTGTGTATTAGACAATATATTTTTACTTCCACAAAGACTATGATGCTTAGCAGACTATCTAGCCACATAATTGCTCATTTTCACTGCTTCCAACAAGGCCTGACAGCTCACCAGTTTATAGCAGTGGCAGAAAACTAGAAAAAGAACGTTCTTGTTTTCTAACTTCCTTTCAGAAAAAGATTTCCTGAAAATTCAGGATTGAAAAAAAAAAAAAAAAGCTTATGAATAATGGAACACTCTGCTACACTCAAGTGAGTTTTATATCTTTGCAAGATTCCTATCACATGAGAAAAAGTCCAGAAGTTACCAAAAAAAAAAAAGTAAGGCATTTAATAACTTCTTAAAAGTAATCACAACAGTAATAAATATGAAAAATCATTTCTAATTACCTCTGTTGAGTGACGCTGAACTGTTTATATCTCCAGTAATGAAGGAAGATTCTGACTGCTTTCGGACAGTGTCATTCCACATTCTACGAATTCGGCTCTTGATGGGGGGAAAGGAAAAGGAAATGAACTCGTGAATTCTCACACACACACAAAAAAAATGTTTTCTTCTTTCTTAATTATATGAGACCTTTGTTTCTGACATCTGGCAAATACATAACATCTACATGCTGGCAGTACAGTGGCATGAGAACATCAGAAAATAAGTCAATGATAATAATTTGTCTTTATTAAGTATAATTCTAAGTGTCTACACACAAAACAATTATAATTGTGAAAAGGAATAAATGTAACATACTATACCAATTTAAACATGCTGAAAATATATAGAAATGTTCTTGACACAGTTAGAATTTAATAATTTTAATTTCTAAGGCAAAACAAATCATTTTCATTGTAATTTTAATGGGAATGGGTTTTTAAAATTTCTATTACATTGTCAGTTTTATTAATAAAATGTTTAGTGCATGAATTAAAAATCTTGTAAGAAAGAGTTTGGTAAGAAAATAACATAGAATATTATTAAGATTCTACTGAACTTAATTAACATTTCCATTTATTTGTAAGAAGACCAATGTAATTTTAAAGGTTACACACTATCTTGATGTTTCTTTTCTAAGAAAGAGATAGGGTTAGTTGATTTACCCTTATTCAGTGCTTCACAGTAGGAAGTTTTATAGAGAACTGAAAATTCTTACATCAATATTTATATTCTGAAATGCAATATTCTAAGTGTTGGATAATTCAATAAAGCAATGTGTTATTTTTCCATTTTGGGGGGATTATTTTTGTGGTTTATTTTATTTTGTTATTTTATTGAGTTAGGGATCAAAAGAGTATTAACAATCTTGTGAGGAGAAAACAAAATCTTTCAGAAGCTTTTCCAGGGATGAAATAGTTATAAACACTATTTATTATACTGCCAGTAGTGAAACCAAGCTCACAAATGGGTTATGTTCCAAATATATTTTGCACTCCTTGAATAATGGGAGTACCTAATCTTAAAATTGGTTTTGTGAATCTTGGGACATGGTTAATCTTCGGCAGTATTATCTATAATGTTATATAGGTCAGCAAACCCGCACATACAAACGCATATACAGCAAAGCTAATTAAAAAAAAAAGCATAATAAGAAAACTGGTGCAGGATTTGAGACCCTGATAACCTGAGAATATTTTTTTATTGGAAAATATTTCAAGGCTTCAAATTCAAATGTTAGAAACAGCTGCTTCAAACTGAAATATGGAGAAGGAATATTGAGAACATTGGTTTAATTAATTAATTAATTAATTAGAATATTAAATACTCTCTACTATATGCCAAATACTAACCTAGGAAATATAAAGTGGAAAAGCAAATCCAAAATGTCTAATCATGTATCCACAAATCTCCAAAGAAGCATTAACTACTACAACTCAAAACTATAAACAACCCACATGACTATCAGTGATAGGATGAATGAATAAATTATAGAATGATACACAGCAATGAAATTAAAAAAAAAAAAAAAGGAACATAGCCTATTGCAACACTGTAGATATCTGATAAAAGAGATTCCAGCCAGGACCAGTTTGGCTCAATGGATACAGAGTTGGCTTGGGGACTGAAGGGCCCCGGGTTCGATTCCCGTCAAGGGCATGTAACTTGGTTTTGGGCATATCCCAGTAGGGGGTGTGCAAGAGGCAGCGGATCAATGACTCTCTCTCATTGATGTTTCGAGCTCTCTATCTCTCTCCCTTCTACTCTGTACAAAAATCAATAAAATATATATTTAAAAAATAAATAAAAGAGAGATTCATGTGAGTAAGTATCAAACATATGCAAAACAAAAGGTAATGTTAAATGTTCAGATAATTGTTATACTTGTAGATGAATGACTGAGAAGGGTTCAAAGGGTTTCTGAGGTACTTCCAATATGATATTATTTGACTGGGAAGGCATACTAAGTTTTTTTTTTTTTTTTTTTTTAGATTTTTGTGACTATCTGTTATACTCCTCAATGTAAAAAAAAAAAAAAAAAAAAAAAATAGAAAGTGCGCATAGTAAGGTATATGTCCTTTTCTCGAAATGCTGAGGATACTACCATTGAAGAAGTGACATCTTATCTGAGAGTTGATGAAATTGTGATTTGTTAGGTGACTCCTAAATGAGCCGCCCCCATTACCTCATCTTCTCTTAGTCTCTTCTACCTGGGCTAGCCACACCTATTCTTTAGAATCCCTTACCATGCCAAACAAACCTCTGCTTTAGGACTTGATAAATCTGTTTCTCCTGCCATATACAGGTATGGGGAGCTCCATCAGTATTAAGGGTTTTGCTCAAAAAATTTCCCCTTCAAGAGGAAGGGGGAAATCTGGCTGGAAGGCAGAGGTGGTTAGGGGAAATCAGGCAGGCAGGTAGGCAGGTGAGCAGTTAGCCAGTGGTCCCAGATTGTGACAGGGATGTCCGACTGCAGGTTTTGGCCTGATCCCAGGGATCTAGCTGAAACTGGCAGTCAAACATCCCCTGAGGAGGCCCGGATTGGATTGGGTACAGGCTGTGCTGAGGGGATTTCCCCTCCCACGCACGTATTTTGTACACCAGGCCTCTAGGGGCTGGTGCTGGAAACATCATTAGGTGTACCCCAACTCTTACGTGAGACTTCAGATTTCTAATCGGCAAGTTTCTAGTTCTAGACTAAGAAATCTCAGCCCACCTAGTTACAACATCTGGTCCTCTGATTTGCAACCTCAGTAAGGCATAGAAGTAATAAGACAAATCAAACTTAAATGACTAATAATTGTGCATTATATCTATATAATAAAAGTATAACTGACCGTTAAGGCAGAATGACCAGTTGCCATGATGTGCACCGAACACCAGGGGGGTCAGATGCTCAATGCAGGAGCTGCCCCCTGTGGTCAGTGCCCTCCCACACCGGGAATGCTGCTCCGCCAGAAGCCAGGTTCATGGCTGGAGAGCACAGCGGCTGTGACAGGAGCTTTCCAGCCTCCACTGCAGGTCGAAGGTAAAAAGCAAGGAGTCCTGGACTATGAGATGGTGGAGGGTGGGCTGAGGGAGCCCCAGTGTAAGAGTATTTCATGATCATAATTTGCAGTTAATTTAAATGATAATATATTCTCATAGATTAGAGAGTTATGTGTTTTAAATTTTTTAGTTTGAAATTTTAGATTGGTATTAGATGTGTGGTTTTATTTGTAAGTTAAAAGAGGATTTCTTTAGTTTGAGGATAGTACTTACGAGAAAAGTTCAAGTGCTAGCTAAGTGTGTACAACTGTACAGTGGATGTGTGTGAGAGGATCAGATACATTCAATTTGTAAATGATATTTAACAGTTACAAGGATAGCTCAGCCGCACAGCTCAGTGGTTGAGCATTAACCTATGAATCAGGAGGTTGAGGTTTGATTCTCAGTTAGAACAGATGCCCAAGTTGTGGGCTCATTCCCCAGTGTGGGGCGTGCAGGAGGCAGCTGATCAATGATTCTCTCTCATCATTGGTGTTCCTATCTCTCTCTCCTCTCCGTCTTTGAAATCAATAAAAAATATTTGTGTCAAATAAGGATACAAGGATATTTAATTTTCTAAATGTAATCATTAAATTGCTTAGGGAAATTTAATCTGCTAAATTTGTAAACCAATTAAATAATAATCAGAGAACAAATGAAGTGATCTTTCTGATGTTATGTAAAATTACCAAATTTACAAAAAAATAATTAGATTTATTGGTTGAGTTAAAGAAGTTAAGAAAATACTATTTTTTATCTGTGAATTTATTTAAATTCAAGTCTTCTTCAGAAAAATTTAATCAACAACACTGAAAACATGATTGTTCCCCCTCCCCCGAATAATGCAATCTTAAAAATATTAGCCTGCTAGTCTGAACTCAAACCCACACATGACCCACATAATGCCATGTCTTTATCTAAATAGCTCATTCTAGTCTCCTCAAGTTGCTGAAATTTTAGTGTTAGCCTAATAATCATTAAAGTGTTAGCCTAATTATTAGGCTAACACTGTGGCCTGGGACAAATGACTGACAGGTTACCTAAAAGTTGAGTTTCCCTGATTAGGGACAGAGCAGCTACTCTGTCTAGTGTTGGGCTCATGGCAGCAGCATTTAGACTAGTTTAAACAAGAAAGCTGTTATAGCATCCTTCCCTCCCCTGACAAGTTCTTCAAGTAATCGGCCAACAATATGTTATGAGTTATAACTGTTTTTACTAAGCATACCATTTAATAAGTAAATACTTTTAGTATGTGATAGAGGATTATTACCTTGGTTTAAAGAAGCAATTAACTCAAGAATCACATATGTAAAATATTAATTTTTTTTTAAATAATTTTGGTTGAAATGCCCAATTTCTTTCCCACCACTGGACTCAGTCCACTGAACCAATTTGAAATAATTGTTACACAAACTTAGACCCCCACATTTTTTTATTTTATTGCCATTTGGTTTCTTAAATTTTTGCTATAATCATGCCTGTGTGAGACACACTAAAAGTTGATGTGTTAAACGCTTGGGATAGAAAATAGAGCTGATCAAAAAAGGGCAACATTCCATAACAAAATATAGGTGAAAGGTATTTTGTTTTAATAAATATGGTTTACCTGCGAGCCTGTGGAGTAGCGTCCAGGAGTTCGAGAACCAGATGTTTTCCCTGAGCCAATGGAACTCTCTGTACTTTTGCCACTACAACAATGTGTTCGCAGGCATTTCCCGTACTCTTTTCGTACCTAGCCAATTAAAATGTGACTTCTGTTAGCAAGCCATTCATTTCAGCCAGGAACTATGGTATAAAATATATGAGTTTTATTTTTAGATAATATAGTCATTTCTTTGCCATACAGACACAAGGAAGTTTGTTCAGCATATTTTCAGAATATAAAATAATGGTATTCATACCATTTAACTTGATATTTTGTTTAGAGACTTTCAAAACACACATTTTCAATTACATCATAACAATATACCTCTTAGATCAAAGAACCAAAATGTAAGACTCCTCTAGATGCTCTTTTAGGCTTATAAATTTGATATGAAGTATCCTATTGGTGCAACTGGCTTTACCCAGAAGTCTAGCAAGGAATTTATACACAGAGAAATGGGGCTAAGAAAGGGAGGGGGAGAGTGAGAGAAAAAGAGCAGAGAGAGAAAATATTTAAAAACAGCAAAAAGTAATGCATTAGGCTTAAGCATTTTTTAATGTTTTTAAAATGATTTCAGAGAGAGGCAGATAGAAAGGTAGAAATATCAATGATGCAAGATAATCATTGGTTGGCTTCTTCCTCCACAATCCCTACTAGGGATCAAGCCTGAATGCCAGGCATGTGCCCAGACCGGGAATGGAACCCTCATGGGTCAACGTACAACAATTTAGCCCTACTGGCCTGGAAGCATTTCTTTTAAATGTACTATATTTCTTTGAAGTTTATTTCCCTTAAAAGAGATCAAATTCGCAACTTCAGAATAAAAGATTCAAAATATTTAAAATGTATATTATTAAAATAGTTCTATTCAGTAATCACAGAGAAATATGGTTGCTTTTCTTTATAGCACAGCTCATTAAATTCTTAATCCAGTTATAGTATAAAACACAGGAGAAAATATTTTAAGTAGTTTTATTTGAAAATAGTAAACTATTATATCAACTATTTAGGGGGAAACTTTTATCATGTTGAAATTTTTTTTTATTATTGTGTATTTAATCAAACATAACACAAAAATTAACAATAACTGCCCTAAAACATACCTCCACTACCAACAGAAAAAAACAATTCCAACCATGTATCCATTAACTAAAACACATTCTGGGGCATGCAATTGGTTGGTTATACATCCACAAATTTATACTCATTATGAAGTAACACGGTACATACATTACTCTTAGCTCTTTATATTATATACCAACTTCTCATAAATTCATCTTTCCACAACTTGTGACAATGTAATATCCCAATCTAATTTTATTTGAAAGTAATTACAAGTATATATTTTTGAAGAATGTTATTTATAATAAAAAAGAAAGTGAGTGATATATTAAAATTAGTAATCAAAACTAAAACTTTATACCTTAATATTCTGAAGTTTTATTCTAGCACAGATGTAGCAATTTAGGGAAAGAATGAACTCATATTCAGTTGAAGAACTTGCATGTATGGAATGACTATTTTGAAAAAGGAACAAGAATATGGAGTGCCTGCTGTCACCAGGCAGTGGACCAAGAAAGGCTTCTCAGAAAAGAGGACTTCTGAGGATAGGTTGGAATTATCAGTTTAGAAGATTGGGTATAAAGAAAGGATAGATAAAAGAGACAAAGGCATTCTAAGTGTTGAGGAGCATGTGAGCCAAACAGAGAGGCATGATATACTAATCTTTGAGGCCATTCTTTGATATAAAATGCCAAATTACATATTTTTAAGATACTGAATATTGTATTTATCTGTTTTTTAATCAATCTCTTCCATGCTAGATCCTATCTAATAAATGAATAATATGCAAATTGACCATCACTTAAACATAGAAGATGGCTGACCCATGTGGACACAAGATGGTCACCACAAGATGGCCAGCAGGGGAGGGCAGTTGGGAGGGACCAGACCTTCAAGGGAGGACAGGTGGGGGTGATCAAGCCTGCAGGGGAGGGCAGTTAGTGATGACAAGGATGGCAGAGAAGGGAAGTTGGGGGAGACCGGGCCTACAGGGAAGGGCAGTTGGGGGGGCTCAGGCCCGCAGGGGAGAGTAATGGGGGTGGCTAGGCCTGCAGGTGAGGGCAGTTATGGGGGACTAGGACTGCATGGGGGGCAATTTCGGGGGGACCAGGCCTGTAGGAGAGGGAGGTTTGGGCAGACCCAGGGTTATAAGGGATGGTTATTGGGTTGGGGGACTAGTCCAGCAGGGGAGAGCAGTAGGGGAAATGAGGCTGGCAGAGGAGCAGTTAGGCATTAGTCAGGCTGGCAGGAGAGTTCTTAGTGGGTGATCAGGCCGGCAGACAGACGCAGTTAGGGGCAGTCAGGAAGGCAGGCAGGTGAGCAGTTGGGAGCTATCAGTCCTGTATTTTTATAGGATTGGGCCTAAATGGGCAGTTGAACATCGCTCAAGGGGTCCCAGATTAAAGAGGGTGCAGGCTGGGCACATCCCCATGCACGAATTTTGTGCACTGGGCCTCTAGTTTATCAATAATAAGTAATACTTATTTTTATTCAATATTTACCAGAAAATTCACATTTTGTTTATTTTTTAAAGAAATAAGCTTTGCCCACATACATGTGTATCCTGGGTATGTGTGAGTTTTGGGGAGGGTGGAATAAAAAATCTTCTAATTTTTAATCACTAATTGACAGGAATTGTCCTTGGCCCCTTAAATAATGACTCTGGAAAATAATTATTACCTACATTCTATGGATAAGGACACTGAAAATGTTAAGTAATAAAAGTAAACTGAAAGACTAAAAAGGTTAATAAATGTGCCTTATGTGAAAAAAGTCAAATTTTCATGGGTGTTCTGTGATCAGAAAGTTCTAGGAGACCACATTTCTAACATTGATATGACCAAAGAAGGCTTTATATTATTAATATGATTATTTAAGTAATCTAATAGGGTTATTCCTTCTCTGTACCTGGAAAATTTAAGACAGCTATTTTAATTAGATTTGAGAGAGCTTAAAATAATCTATCAATTACAGTTTATTAATTTGTACTGAATTTATGAAGCATTTCCATGAACTTAAACTTTGATCATAACCTACATCTTACTGTTTCTTCCCTCTAATATACTCAATTCCTAATTTATCTTTTTAGAAGAGAAAGTATTTTTTTAATGAAGTGATTTAAATCTAAACAAATATTTTTGGAGTGAGGAGAAGAGAAGAGAGAAGAAAGAAAAATACTTTCTTATTACAAAGGCAGCAGTATTGTATAATGTAGGGGTGTCGAACTCAATCAGAGAAGGGGCCAAAATCTAAAATCCAGCCTAAATCGCGGGCCGAATGGTTTACTGAACAGTCATAAACTGTCATTGTGATGGAAACACAGCGGAGTGCAGTGATGACAGCGCGGTGCGGGCCACATTGCAAGGCCTGGCAGGACGGATTTGGCCCGCGGGCCTTGTGTTTGACACATGTGGTATAATGAATCATGGATTATTTACATTTTCCAACAAAGGTTAAATGTTCTGAACTGATTATATAGATAATCAGCATATCAAGATACCTAGTGATGCCAAGTCCTACATTTAGCTATATTACTCACTGGACCATATCCATTATATATTTTTCTTTGAATTACAATACAAGTTATTTGATTGTTAAATCATTTGCATATTCTAACCTATTATTTCACCAGATATTCCACCTTACCCCAATAAAATATATTATTCTTTTAATGCGGGGTTGTTTTAGAATAAGAAGATGGGAAAGAAAATATGCCTTACCAATGGAACATTTCTTTTATATACTAAGATCAGAAATAAAATAGTTCTGAAACTGAGATGTAACACACAATTTACTGCATAACAAAAGAAAAAGTGATAACTTTAATGTCATCAGTGGAAATACTAGTAACACAATTATGCAATCCACATTCAGAAAAAAATGACAACTCAGCATTTGATTTCTTGTTAATGAGTTGAACCCTATTAAAAATAGCTCAAAAATGAAATATTCCACATTTCTCTACTGAAAATGTATGAGCAACTACATTAGCAGGAACATATTTTTGAAATTCAAAAAAAGATGGCTTAAGAAAAATCTCCAAAAGGAATTATTATTTTTAAAATATCTTAACTAATCAAAGCCATCTATAAATTAAATGCAATCTCTTATCAAAATTCCAATGGTATTTTTCACAGAGATAGAAAAAACATCCTAAAATTTGTACAGATCCACAAAAGATCCTTAATAGCCAAAACAATTTTGAGAAAAAAACAAAGAAAGGGGCATCACACTTCCTGGTTTGAAACTAAATTATAAGTCTATATTAATAATACAGTATCATATTATCGTAAAAATAGACACAAAGACCAAAAGAATAGAAACCCCAGAAATAAAACCTTACATATATGGTCAACTAATAATTGCCAAGGAACCCAAGAATTCTCAATAGGAAAAGGACAATCTCTTCACTTAATGGTGTTGGGAAAACTGGAAACCACATACAGACAAATGAAATTGAATCCCTATCTTATACAACTATTGAATCCCTATCTTATACAACTCACCAAATTTAACTAAATGGATTAAAGACAAACATAGACTTGAAACCATAAAACTCAGAGAGAAAAAAAATACATGGGAAAAGCACCTGGGTATTGGTCTTAGTAAATATTTTATGGATAATATATCAAAAGCAAAAATTAATAAGTAGAACTACATTAAACTAAAATGCTTCTACACAGCAAAAGAAGCAATCAATAGCCCTGGGTGAGTAGCTGAGTTGGTTACAGCATTTATGGGTCAGATCTCTAATAAGGGCATACACAAGACTCAACCAATGAATGCATAAATAAATGGAAAAACAAGTTGATGTTTCTCTCTCTCTCTCTCTCTCTCTCTCTCTCTCTCTCTCTCTCTCTCTCTCTCTCTTATCAATAAATAAAAAAGAAGCAACCAGCACAATAAAATGGCAATTTACAGAATGAAAGAAAATGTTTTTGAATCATATATCTAATAATGGGTTAATATCCAAAGTATATAAAGAACTCAAACAAATCAATAGCAATTAAAAGATGGATGGATGTCATGGATAGTCAATGATCCTAAGAAGACATACAAATAGCCAGTATGAAAGATGCTCAACATCCCTAGTTATGGGAATGGAAATTAAAACCACAATGAGATATTACCTCACACTTGTTAGAATACTAATCATCTCGAAGATAAGGGATAAGTGTTGGTGAGGATATGGAAAAAAGGGAGCCTTTGTACACTATTGGTCTGAAAGTAAATTGGCACAGCCATGAAAAACAGTATGACAGTTTCTTATAAATTAAAAACAGAACTACCATACGACCTAGCAATCCTACTTCTGGGTATTTATCCAAAGGAAATGAAATCACAATCTTGAAGAGATATTCGCACCCCCCCTCCCCCACCCCATTCCCGTTTCCTGCAGCATTATTCACAACAGCCAAGGGAACATCCAAAGTGTCCATAAATGAATGCATGGATAATGCAATATGGTGCATACATACAATGGAACACTATTCAGCCATGAGAAAGAAGGAAATCCTGCCATTTGCAACAACACGGATAAACCCATAGCTAAGTGAACTAAGACAGAGATAAATACTGTATGATCTCAAATGTGGAATCTAAAAAAGACGACCTCATAGAAACATAGTCGAATGATGGTTGCTAGAGGTTTGGGGTTGAAGGCATGTGGAGATGTGGGTCAAGGGCTATAAGCTTCTAGCTAGAAGATGGATAAGTTTTGGGGATCTAATAGACAAGACGATGATAGTAACAATACTCCATGTATACTCGAGAGTTGCAAAGGGAGGAGATCTTAAATGTTCTCACCGCAAAAAAGAAATAGAAGTTATTTGAGGTGATGAAGGTAACACATTTCACAAGAAATATGTGTATCAGATGAACATACTGCAAACCTTAAATTTAAAGGATGTTACATCTCAATTAAAAAAAAAAAAAAAGAACCAAAGAAAAATCTCCTGAGACCACTTCTGTAACTTCAGAGAGAAGTCCCTGGTTGGGACTTTATGTTCTTTATGCTCTCTGATTTGGGCCATGTTCTTGATGCCAATAAAAATGCCAGAAAAATTTCAAAATTTCAAACACAGAATGGTTGACAGAACAATATGCTATTATATATTATTATAAAATTATAAATCATAAAATAATGTTTATATATAGGGATTTGACTATTTTGTTCATGAAGGGCCAAGCAATCAGTATTTTAAGCTTTGTAACCCAAGAGGCAAAACTAAGACTGTTGTCACATACTTATTTTAAATTTTAAATATAACCACTTAAAATGTAAAAGTCATTTTTTTGGTTGATGGGCTGTAAAATATTAAAGGCAGCTTAATAAATTTGGCTAAAGAGTTGTAGTTTGCTGAACTCTGTTCTAATGAATCATGAAATCGAGCTTGATATATTATTTTTGAAAATTTCAATGTTAAATAAGTTAAATATGTTAAACACTCTAGATTTAGATATAGATTGTAAGGTTTAATATCTCTACCTGGATATCAAACTCAATTTCTAGTTATATCAGTGATGTGTATTTGCAGACACCCTCCTCAAGTTTTACCTCCCATCAGTCTCTAAAATGAAAAATGTAAAGAGAAAGAGATTTTTGTTCTTTATTTCCAAATAAAAATTTTAGTTAATATCTCTTTCTTAGAAAAAAAATTCACATTTTGCCATTTCACTTTCAGGCCCACCTCTCAATATCTTGTAATTATTACCTCATGTTACACATAAGGAAAGTAGGGCATGAAAGGTTAATTACCTTGCCCAGAGTCACAGAAGCTTTAAAAGGAGTAACTAGGATTCAGACCCAGATAGTCTTAACTATGTGCTCAAAACTATGAATACTACTTTTTAAAGAAATCCTCAGCTGAAGAATTTTTTCCATTGGTTTTTAGACAGAGTAGAAGGAAGAGAGGAGGAGGCAGGAAGAAAAAGAGAAAGAGAGTGACATGGATGTGAGAGAAACATGTTGATTGGTTGCCTCCTTCAGGAGCCTGAACCAGGGTCAGGGATTGAACCTGCAACCCAGGTGCTTGACCTTGACTAGGAATTGAATCTATGACCCTTCAATGTGCAGGCCGATGCTCTATCCACTGATCAGGTCAAATATCATATTTTTAAGAGTTAAAGAGTATAAGATGAGATAATCAATATTGAGGTTTAAAAAATTTAACAAAAGTATTTTGTTGCTAAAATTAACTTTGGACATGAATATTTTAGGTCCTTGTAGATGTGAAAAAAAATCATGAAGTAGACTAGTATAAAATTAAATACTGCATCCTAATCATCTGACTCCTAGATTTTATAAAATGTTTTTAGAGAAAAGAAGTATAGAGACCATTGCTAAGTACTACATCATTCATTAAAAAAATATGACTATGCCCTAGCTAGATAGGCTCAGTGGGTAGAGCACTGGCCTGTGGACTGAAGGGTCCAGGATTTGAATCCAGACAAGGACACATGCCCAGGTTGTGGGCTCGATCCCCAGTAGGCGTGCAGGATGCAGCTGATCAATGATTCTCTTTCATCATTGATGTTTCTATCTCTTTCCCTCTCTCTCTCTGAAATAATAAAAAATGTATTTAAAATATATATAAATATTATTTTATCATGAAATGTTTATAAATTTATATTTTCTAGTGCATAAAAACTAGTTTTTAAAGAAACTAAAAATATATATATTTTCTATGCCATGCCATTTATATGTATACATATATACATAATGCGTGTATGTATACACATACCATACCTCCATAACATCTTAGAAAAGCTACTGCTTATTATACAAATTTCTAGTATTTGCCAATAAAAATATTAGTATTTATTTAACAAACAGAACTATAAGTTCCAGTCCACAAGAATAAAGTTTTGTGCAGTGTCCAAATCAAACTACATGTCTATTTTTTTTTCCGGTTAAACACATTTACCAAGTATTGTGCTTATATTTTGTCTTTACTATTTAAAAAAAAATTAAATCAATGAAGTAACATACTTGTTAGAGGAAAACATATCAAGAATGATTTTTGTTATGGTTGCTTTACTATCCTAAGATATAGGCCATTTATTCTTACATAGGGAATGCTAGCTTACCTTCTTTTGTAGAACACAATGGAAAATGAATATAAACATCCCTTGTAGAGAATTGAAAATAGTGAAGAGATATGCCATGATGACTGTGCTTTCGTTGATATACATGAGTCCAAAGGCCCAGGTCAATCCCAGCAGGCAGAGAAGAGCTATTGCACCTATGACCCATGACCTGTAGAGAAGAAAACATTAAGGGTGATCAAATAATTGGCTTTTAATGAGCCCAATCATGTCATGTCAAGAAAACTGACACTGAAAAAATGTTACAGAGAGTTTTATTGACAGAAAATGCAAGACAGGTGGTATAAGTACTTTTTTATAAGATTTTTATGGAGATACGATTTTTCAAGTTTGAGGGGTTAATACATGAAAATGTTATGAACACAGAAATTCATTTAAGCAAAAGCAGACTTGCACTATTAGATTTTTTCATGTATTTGCAGCACATAGGTAAATGACATGGAGATGTAATCATGAATGGCAAAGGAGAAAAAAAGCCTATAAAGCTATGATAGTCTCCACTGGTCTCATTGGTGTAATAACATCTGTTTGATTGGACTCTTTCCATTAGTGCTTCATCTGATACACGTTTACCCCATTTTTCCATATTTCCTCTTTTTCCATAAAGTTTTTAGTGTTTACTGATAAAAACAGAGCTATTATTAGAAGGAACCAGTATATGGAATACATGTATGAATTTTAAAAGTTCTATTAGCATGTATGTAGATATACAGTATATATATTTAATCTATATTCTACATTACATTGGACTAGATATCAGAAATCAGGCAATTGGCAGCTTTGTTGAACAGAAGCCCAAAGGCTCAGGCACCTTCATCTCTTTGAAGTGTCTGTGAACTCCAGGGAGAAAAATGAAGCTGAGAATGGGGATGGAGTGGTATGAACAAAGTAGTCCAGAATGAAAGGCAAATTCTCAGTCTCACTCCATTCCCCTTCTTTCCTTCAAGCTGCCATTCACAATAGTAATCAATGGGTAGCAAAAGTCCATGTATTTGTGCTTTTGTGTTATGTATTTACAGTCAGCATAGAGTGAGTACTTCCAATAGCTAGGAATCCAATAACTGAAAATGTAATCCTTCTCAACTCCTCTCTAAGAATATAGGAAAATAGGACCAACTTAGTCTATATCGCTGTACGCTCATGAACTAACCTTCTCTTCCCTTTCCCTTTAGTATACCTTCCTTCAATAGGGTACCCTAGTAGTTCTTTTCACCAGTCTGTTAACCTCCACTTACACTATGAAAAAACTATTTACTGGGATTAAAACTTTGCAAAATGAAGGGATAAAAAATCACATTTGTTTGCCACAAGCTTAAGTTTGGTCTAATGAACTTTTCAGAGAACTACATCTTAAGAAAGATATGGTCCCAAAGTAGTCAAATATGATTGAAGTCTTATTCAAATTAATCTCAAACATTTACCTTTTTTTTTTTTAACAACATGAGCCACTATATTTCAGATTTTAAGACCCACTACATTTAACATGTATTAATTAAAACATTTACATTATTTTTTTCATTAAAATATGCTTTATTATAAAATATGCCATGATGCCTTTATAATTAAGGAGCTATTTAGCATTAACATTCTTAAATAAAGGAAGCTTGCAATTGTATGTGGCATGCTTATATGGTTTAGAAAACATCTTAGCCATTTATATTTTAAACTACAATTTAGATCCAGATATGGGAACTTTCAAGGGAAACTCTCAGCTTCTTACAGACATTGGAAAAAGGAAAAATGGGATGAATTGCCATTAAATCAGGCAAAATGCTACTTAGATTTAGAAATAAAATGATAGGATAAAACACTCAAATCAGCTATTACCCACTAGAAAACACATTATGGGCCTTGATAATATAAAACTTGATAATATAAAACTGCAATGAGCCCAATTTCTAAAGAAAAAAAAATAAACAAGAGAATGAAGAAATAAGTGGAATGGCATTGGAGAAAATGAAAACAAAGGACTCTTCACCAGAAGAACAAACTGAAAGTCTGGAACAAGGTCACCAAGAGTTTGCCAGTCTTATGGCTAGTGTTGCAGGGCATGCAATTTTAAAAATGTTCAAGTGGAAAAAGCCCCACATATGAACATTTATGTTCACTTTTATTTGATTAGTACAGACTTATAGCTTTGCTTCAGAAATTTAAAAACTCCATTTATAAAAAAAAAAAATGAGCTCATGAATCAAGTGACATGGGTCAAACTGAAAGAGATAATATTGCAAATGTAAAATTTAATTTTTCAAGGAGGCATTGTTTCCCTTTTTGGACAGTTAAAATAGAAAGTCATTAATATCAATTGCAATTGGGTAGTTTTATACCCATAGATCATTTTAAAGATATATGACTAAATGACAAAGCAATTTTTAGATGAATGATATCCAACCAAACAACAGAAATGAGTACGAACCGTACAGAGGAGCACATCACAATGAAGGGAGAGCTAACAAGAGCCTGTGCCACACGAGTTACTATTACTGTGGCATGTGATTCACAGGATATCCAATTAAAAGAGGTGAAGCAGATTTTTTTTTGGCAGTACACCTGCAGCATATGAATTCTGCAAAGAAGCTGTATGCCTGAGTTTTTTTGTTTTTTTTTTATTTCCTGCACAGTTTGCTCTTCTGCCTCTCTGTGAATGACAGAAGCCCTAATGAATTTTCAGTACAGATCTGACAGCTGGTTCATGGGACCACACTGATAAATGGGATTTATCAGCCATTCAGGTCATTCTTACTTGATGAAGGGTCTGTTATCCTCATAGCTAAAGAATGCATAGACATAAAGACAAGAACACCAACATTAGCATTTTATGACAAAGAATTTCATATGAAAAATATCGTCCTGGTTCCCGAAGGCCTCTGTCCCCCACCTCCCTAAGAGGCATCATAACTTTCCCTTTAGATCCAAAAGGTAAATTCTAAAATGACCACGAGAACTTAAATAACAAGGAATAAAGTAAATTTTACAAAACTGTAATATCCCTTATGAGACTAAAAAAAAAAAAATTCCTTTTTTTTTTTTCCATCCTGTGCTTATATTACTTGTGACTTGACAGAGACATTTATTTCTTAGAGATCACATTTCTCTAGAGAATGAGAAATCTTATGAGCAATCTGAAAAAGGCTTGGGGGCATATTTAAAATGAGAGATTCCGTGTCACCTAAAGGTATCCTTATTCTGTAATATTGGTAGGTAAGATTACTTCATTATGGACAGTAGGCACCTACTAATAAGTAATTTACACTCGCAGATAACTGACCTGTGTTAAATCTGAACAGTAGAGCCCTTTGAAAATAATTGATCCTGACTGCTTTAGAATCCTTTCTGTTAGTTCACTAAGAAAAAAAATCTTGAATAATCTTGTGTGGTAATAGGAGCAAACAAACAGCACCTGTTCGTTATTATTTATATTTACTAATTTATTATCATTCTGTTAAATTAAGACCCCAGTGCTAGATTAGTAAAGGTAAGGAACATTGTGGATCATCTTTTTACAAACACAGATGCTGCTCAGTGCATTTCGAGAGAAAAGGAAGAAAAATTGTCTGCTCTTTTCTCATACCTCTTGCCAGAGGCTGTTTCCGATATTATGCATATACAAATAAGCTTTCAGACAGGCCTCAACTGTGATGCATTTTGAATAAAGAGGACTGCTGATGAAAACCTCCCTCTCCAGAAAAATAAAACAGGAAAGAATGGAGTGAGAGCTAGAGATTGGAAGCCATTTTGCTGGGATTTACACCACTTACTGGCTGTTTGATCTAGGCAACATTTCAACCAGTGGCTTTGTCAGTTTATGCATCTACAGAATGGTGATAATTATCAACTAACTTTCTTGTGATAATGAAAAGATATATTACACATAAAGTGCTAGAACAGTGCCTGGCACATTTGTGCTGTGTTCAGTAAATATTAGTGATTATGTTTTCAAAGCTACAGTCGCACTGAAAATATAGAATTTCTCTTCCTAAGAATAAAGCACCAAATAATAAATGTTGAGTATCTAAGTCCATTTGAGGACGTTTTAGTATTATTATGCAGTAAAAGAGATGTGGTGGAAATGAGTTTGTGGATGGCACAGGCAGTGACTGTGTAGTCTAATATGGCAAGTACTGGCCACATGGGTTTATTTAGAGTTAAATTCATTAAAATGAAATAAAGTGTAAGGTTTTGATCCTTAGTCACACTAGTCACATTACAATTATTCAAAAACTCCCATAGCTGCCATATTGTCCTCAGAAAGTTCTAATGGACAGTGCTGGACTAGGATATTAAACAAAAAAAAATTTAGGCAAGAAAGTGAAATTCTAAAAAATATTTAAATAATGCCATGAAGGTATAAAAGATAAAGAGAAAAGTGTTTCTAAGAATTGATCATATTGAACAGTTGTAAACTGTGCCTGTAGTAACACTGAAAAGTCATAGAAAATAACATGCTATTTATTCCATTACATGCATTCTCATCGCATCAGTATACCCCATCTGTGATGACAAGTTCATGAGTGGAATGGCTCTTTCTACATTAATTTGTATAGTACAATGTCAAGTAAAGAAATTTATAGAAGTTCGCATATAGGGATACATGCCAAAATGGCTTACAAATCTGCATTAAGCTATGTAAATGTTTCAAAAAATAGAATACAATACTTGCACAGTGAGGTGTTTTACCTTTCATGTAAAAATAAAAAGGAGATATCTGGGTGCAATTCAGCAATATTTGTTGGCGATAGTGGGGATCTTCCAGTTGCACCAGTCAATAAGAAATACTGTAAATCCACCTCCATCTACAGTTGGCTATAGCCTTGTGTATAAGTAGTGTCCATTGGGATGTGAAGAGACGTGAGCTGTGACATTTCTGGGTCATGCTAATTAAAGGACTGGAACTGGGCTTCCCTTGTCACTTTTCCCCTCCCCTTTTGCTAGAAGAAAGTGACAGTAGAGCCCGAGACCTATCAATTGAAACTGTTCATTGATGTGGAACCATGTTAGATTTAGACGACCTCCTTCTTAAGATTTATAAAATGAGGTATAGAGTATTTTTATAGTAGCTTTGCCTGTAATAATTAATAAGGCATTTAATTTTATATTTTAGCAATATAAAATCTCCGATATAAATATTCATGCTAATGGAAAAGAGTCATTCATTAATATTACTCCAGAGTGACATAAATAATATACAATGGTTCAAAATCTGGAGATCACAAAAGATTATCCATAATATGTCAGAGCCTTCCATCATTTTGTCAGATATTTTATTGGCTTAGAGAATCTACCTTTATAATATCTCTCCACCAAATCCAAATTAAATTGATTGCAATTTTGCCACCAGTTATGCTGGCAAAGCTATACACTCTTGATTCATTATTTTGATTCTAAAAGAGAAACATCTACCTATGAAACTAGTTTATCAAGCTAGTAATTTTCATTCTGATTTACCAATACAGGTTGATTGAAATAAAATCTCATTCCAGGATATATGACTAAATAACTTTTACTTCAACTTTTCAAAGATTTTATAAAAATATTGACACAAAGGCCTACGATGTTCTTAGCAGATGATAACAGGAACTTATATGTTATAAGTTATAATAGATCATTTGCTGAAAATAAGATAACCTGTATATAAAATTTTGAAGAAACAAATAAAACAGTGTTTTCTTTGGCAAATACATTTTTCTTCTGTGAAACATTTTGTTTTATTATTACTAACATTTAAAATTAATAACTTTATTTAAATGTTAATGTCACATAATTTCTTTAAAAGTGACCATTAGAATGGAAATTAAAAATTCTATGGGTCTCTGCATAGATAATAATAATTATACATATACTTATATGTTTTATAACAATTCAAAAGCACAAAAAGGGCTATTAACATCTACCCCACCAAAGAAGCATAGTTCAAAATACATCTTTAAGAGAATAGATTTCTTGACTAAAATATTAATTCATAAATTAATGCTATGATATAAAGACAAATAGTATAGCATATCAATATTGACAGTTGATAAAGGGACAAGATCAAGTTTGTTACACACTATAGTTTCTCTAACTTTGTTAAAATATTGTTTTTCTAAACTTAACATTTATTATAAAGGAGATACATTATTTTAAATGGTTAATTTTTTTTATTACATTTCCTTTCTATTATATCTAGATAGTATAGAAAAATGGATAAAAATAATAAGATGGTAAAAAAAAAAGTGAGATAGGCAAGGTTTGGTGTGAAGAAAGATGAGGTAATGAAAGTTAATTAATCCTCAAGACAAAAGATCTGGTCACTGAAGAGTCACAACAGGTGAAGGAAAATGGATGGCTTCTGGCTTCAGCGGATTTGCTGATCTCATCAACTTCAAGATTAATACATTCTGGGATCCTCTGAAATTTCTGGGGAATTAGCTGACTGGTTTGTTGAAGAGCAAGAAAGAGCTATCATGATATATATCAATTAGTAAACAAATATTTCCATGTTCCTATGCAGCTGAATTTACTTTTCCTGGTATAAAATGAATTATGTCAAAGAGATAAAGACAATTCCCTTGAATGTGGTATGGGTAAGAATGATAAAGGCCCATCATCAGATGAGTGGATTAAAAAACTGTGATACATCTACACAATGGAATACTATGCTGTGGTAAAAAAGAAGGAATTCTTACAATTTGCAATAGCATGGATAGACCTTGCTAGCATTAATGCTAAGTGAAATAAGCCAGTCAGAGATAGGCAAATATCACATGATCTCACTCATTTGTGGAATATAATGAACAACATAAACTGACAAACAAAAATAGATCCAGAGATTGAGAAGCATCGATCAGACTGCAGAGGGAAGGTAGGAGAGGGTAAGGGTAAGGAGGAAAGATCAACCAAAGGACTTGAATGCATGCATGTAAGTCTAACCAATGGATACAGACACCAGGAGGTGAGGGCATGTGTGGGAGGTGGTGGCGGTGGTGGGGTAATGGAGGGATAAGGACACATATGTAACACCTTAATCAATAAAGAAAAAAACAAGAATGATAAAGGTAATATGGGTGAGCTTCTCAAGATAAAATTACTCCTTATTCTTTAAAGAAGGAAAAAATGCAATAAATACTTCTGTATCTGTATGTTGAGGGGGCTTTTCCTATTGACCCTCAATCAAAAATGAGCCTCCAAACCTAAGGACTAAGAGGATCCAGTTAACCATATCCTAAAAGAAGTCAGAAGCAACTCAAGTTAATAGACTTCACTTAGAAGTGATCTCTGAGACCTTGCTTTACCATACCACCAGGGGTTTGGGAAAGTAAAGACAAGACCCATTAATATTGCAAAGGTCACAGAATATTTGAAACAGAGGAAAGAGGAAGGAAAGAAACACCTTACTTACACTAATCCTCCAGCCACAAATTTCAGCGGGCAATGGAGAAAGGCTGCTTTAATGGATGTTATTCAAGTCTCAAATTGGCCAGGCATTTACTAATCGGAATAGACTGGCAAAGTAGCAACAGCTAAGGTAGCATTAAGAAATTTGCTGCCCAGTGGTTAAGAGATATTTAAGATAGTACAGCTATAGGAGTAATGATCAAAGAAAAAAATCTAAAAATTGTATGTTTGCATCTCACTGTGAGGAAAATGTTCAATTAGCAACATGGTAGAAATCCTGACTGCTTTATATTTCTTTCAAATGTATTTTATATTATGGGGACTATACCACCCTAAAATTACATTATTATTTTCCACCTTCTCTCCTTCTTAACTACTATAAGAAGATTAAAAGAA